CTTCCCCACCATGAAACTGGGGTGAATTTGTTAGATGAATTACTGAAAAAGGCTGATGCAATGGTTCTCACAAGAACAAGATTTAATTTTGAAGGCATGAAATTATTAAGGCTCAAAGGCTGAAGTACAAAGTGAAATTCTGACTCATTGTAAACAGTATTTATGACCTTGGCAATGTATCTTAGCAATTATTCAAATGAAAACAACTGAACTTCCTAAAAGTTCTTCTGGCTGCAAACTCAGTGACTATTAGAGGAAGATACAAACTTCCGCTAACAGATAAATCTTCCAAAGAGCACTGGCTCTTTGCTTTTTATACTCTGTGGTCTTGGGATCTTTTCAGTCTTTAGAATAATTTGAGTTATAGAAACTATCTGCTGGTAAAAAGACACACATAATCCTAAACATTAAAATTAATTAAACAGGCACTTTAGGAAAAGTCAGTGATTCTTTCATCACCTTAAATCAAAAGACTTAACAAATTTTATGATTACTGCTTCATTCTTAATCCCACTTTACAGGAGATAAAATTCAGGCTTTTTTCCCCTTGGAATTAAATAAGGCTCACAATAGAACAAAGTCTAGCAGACGTGACTGCAAAGGCATATTTCCAAGGAGCTCAGTCCTCAGCATGAGAAAGCAGCATGGGGACAAGAGGACACGACTTTCAGAAGTGAAAAGCTGTGGCTTAGTTTTGTAAAAATTCAATCTTTGGACTGAAATTGTTGTCATTTTTAATTTTATAAAGCATAAAAATCATGTATGTATTCAGGATATATACATGCAGAGCTACCAAAGATAACTGAGGTAATTAACTTTCTGTAGGAATTGCTGATGATGTGGATTCAGCAGGAAAACAGAAATTGCATGTGAAGGCACTGAACCTTCCAGAGGAATGCAAAGGGCTAATGTCTATCAACAAGACGTTATAAATAGGATTAGAATGTAATTTGGAGACCAAAATGACAACTGTTATCCTGGGGTTAATGTAAGGTTCAAATGATCTCATGTGTATATAATATACAAAGGTGGTTTAAAGAATAAAAAATATAAATATATGCAAGATGGAATCATTTGGGGGTATATATCTGGGAACAGAGGGTACTAATAGATTCCTTATAACTCTGCAGCCCTTATATGAAGAAATCTTAAAATATATATAACCTTTAGTAGACAACACAAATACAGTTTTTAAAAATCCATGAAGGGAAAAACAGGTGTAGAGAAATCTGAGGAAAGTAAAAACAAACTTCTGAGTAGTGTTCAGGACAGGAAGCCAGGGCAGAAACAGGTTGTTACAGCATCTAGGCTTTTCATAAGTAATCACCTATTGCCTACGGCTTATGCTAGACTGAACTTGATTTGCAGCATATCATTTCTCATTTGCCCAGCACTCTGAGGGGAGACAAGGAGAGCAGAGACTGCATGACATAGTAGAGGCTGGCCTGTCTTCCACCTCTAGCCTGTCTCCAAGATATGGTCACCAGAGATTAGCAAAGCTGAGGCCACTCCTATTGCTGCGGAAGTATTAATAAACCAGCTGCCTTTTCAGATAGAGGTAGTCAAAACCCAAAAGGCATTTCTATCTCTGCATTAGGGATTAGAAAAACTCTGAGTTTTGCCTTACTTTCTTAAACATTATGTTATTTCTGGTATCGTCAGGGAACCCAGATAATTCCAGGGATGCAATGATGATCTAAAATCACTGGCTAAGGACTAAGCACACCAGAGAGAGGTTTCAGGTTCCAGCTCAAACTGATAGAACTCTAGGTCTCTCTAGTGCTATTTTAGCTCAGGAATGTTTGGTGACTCGGCCTCTTGGGCAACCCAGTCACTTTTCTCTAATATATTTGCAGAATACTCTGGCTGGCCTAGACAGAAGTACTTCTTTATCATGTGCTCTTATACACATATACACTCTCTCATTTTGTAAGAGCTGGTCATTGCTGAATAACTGAGTATGTAAGAAAAAGAATGGCAACACTGACATGCTGAGTATTCAAGTGTTAGCTTAGGCTCAATAATCCAGACTCAAGTTCTTCATTTGAGAACTTGATAAAGAACTATCTCAAATTTGCAACAATTTTCACTGTGGATTCAATGGTGAATTTGCTTTGGGGCAAGTGGGTAGAAAAGAGGAGTTTTACCATATGTAGTGAACCTTTATCTATAAATAAGCACAGGGAAGAAAAACATTTTTAGAATGCCTGAGTCAGCACATTTACATGGCCTAATTTAGTTTGCCATCAAATTACATTTTGTGACAAAAATCTCATGATTCTCCATTAAGTTTTTGTTAGTTTCCATTTCCACCTCCCATTAATGTCTACAAGCAGAGATTACAAAACTGGTATAGAACATTTACTAATGTTTGAAATACCCAAAAACATTTGATCACAGGTACAGATTGACAATTATTTAAGAAGTATATTTGGTCATGTTTTCATGACAGCAACAATCCTCAACCTTTTTGGCACCAGGGACTTTCATGGAAGACAGTTTTTCTACAAACTGGGAAGGGGGTGAAAGAGGGGTGGTTTTGATAGGAGTTTCAAACAATTGATTTATTATGGTCTCTGCAAATGATAATCTATTTGCAGTTGCTCCATAGCACTAACATAACCACCTCAGATTAGCAGGCATTAGATTCTGGTAAGGAGAGCACAACCTAGATCCCTCACATGCAGTTTACAGTAGAGTTTATGCTCCTGTGACAATCTAATACCACTGCTGATCTGATGGAAGGCAGAGCTCAGGCAGTGATGTGAGTGATGTATATAAATACAGATGAAGCTTCACTTACTTGATCACTCACCAGTTCCTAACAGGTCACAGAATGGGATTGCTGTGTGGCCCCGGAGTTTGTAGCATTATAGATTAAAGAGAAATCTTAAAACCAAAACACTTACTCATATATAAAAGCTTGTGGCTTTGGAAGAAATATCTTAACTACTGTTTTCTTTGCTTAAGATCACTGATGCTTTGTGGTATTAAACCAAAGGCAGAAAAAAACTGCTTAAAATGTAAACATTTCAGCTCAGTGCCTGTGGCTCAAGTGGCTAAGGTGCCAGCCACATACACCTAAGGTGGCAGGTTTGAATCCAGCCCGGGCCTGCCAAACAACAACAGCTGCAACCAAAAAATTGCCAGGTGCTGTGGCAGGCGCCTGTGGTCCCAGCTACTTGGGACACTGAGGCAGGACACTCTCTTGAGCCCAGGAGTTGGAGGTTGCTGTGAGCTGTGATGCCATGGCACTCTACCCATGGGGACAGCTTGAGGCTCTGTCTCAAAAAAAAATTTTTTTTTCACTGTATTTTGGTCTGTCCATGCTGATTTTGTGAAGACTCTTTTTCTTATCTGTGGTGTCAGATAAACAAAAAGCACAAACAGAACTTGTTTTAGCTAAACAGCTTTTGTCACCTGTAATCCCAGCATTCTGGGAGGCCAAGGCAGGTGGATTACTTGAGCTCAGGAATTTGAGACCAGCCTGTTTCTACCAAAGATAGAAAAACTAGCTGAGTGTTGTGACGAGTGCTTGTAGTCTCAGTTACTTGGGAGGCTCAGGGAACAGGGTCACTCGAACCCAAGAGTTTGAGGTTGTTGTGATGCCATGGCACTCTACCCAGGGTGACAAGAGTCAAACTTTACCTCAAACCAAAGCAAAACAAACAACTAAAGAAAAACAGCTTTTGTTAGTGTTTGGTGTTTTATTGTGTGACCCAAGACAAGTACTTCCAATGTGTAGCCGAGAAAAAAAAGGTTAGATACCCCTAAACTTTAGATATGTAATTTGCTTCCCTGTTCTTATTCATGCTATCAAGGATATCCCTCTTAGCCCCTTGAATGAGCACCGAAAAGCTTTCTCATATCCTTAGCATTTCTTATACTATATGTTCATATCATACTCTACAAAACAAAGCAAGTCCTCTAGAATTTTTAAAAATGCAGGCTTTTTACTCTTCCTGCTCAAGGATTACCCTTGATCCTTAATGACAGCTGTATTTTCAACTTAATAAAATATTTAACAACTAAAAAGACAACTGTGCTTCAGAAGCCAATATTATACACCAAGTAAGGAATATGATACTCCCCATTACTGCTCTATGTCTCAGATTTTCAGTAATAAGTTTCTAAATTCTTCTGCCTATTCCAGTCAACAGAAAAGCAGATTTAGATAGTTTACAGTGGGCAATATGAAAGCTGCCTTATGAAAACAGTCACTTGGCTTGGCACTCATAACTCCCACATACACCGAGGATGGTGGGTTTGAGCCTGGCCCGGGCCTGCTAAACAATAACGACAAGAATAGCCTGGTGTTGTGGTGGGCACCAGTATTACCAGCTACTCGGGAGGCTGAGGCAAGAGAATCGCTTAAGTCCAAGAGTTTGAGGTCACTGTGAGCTGTAATGCCACAGCACTCTACCCAGGGCAACACAGTAAAACTCTGTCTCTCTCCCCCTACCCCAAAAGGAAAATAGAGTCACTTATATTAAAAGAAAGCCCCAACAAACTGACCCCAAGAAGGCCATGAAGAAAAGAGTTCTCATGCACAAATGTCTGATAACAGAAACTATCATAAAAGATTCTCCAAAAACTACAAAATTGCACAAGGGTCACAACAATTTTACAGAAAAAATATGCCTTCAAGGACATCTGCCCAACAACTGCCTTGCCGACCTTGGACTGATGTCACCCTTGTTACTGATCCTTGTAGCCAAGGATAATTATCTCAAAACTATTATGTAATCCTCCTCATTTTTCCTCCAAAAACCTGTCTTCCCTTCCCTTCCTGAATATGCACCTAGTTTACTATGGCACCCCTTCTCCCACTGCAATCCCCTGTTCCTGTATAAACTTCATTTTCTTTTAGGGGGCCTGTTATTTAGGTTGACAGCAAAAACCAATTTTGGTTTTCAGAAACAAATCACCAATTTTACTTAAAGAAAAATAAACAAATTTACTATAGTATAAGCATGAACAAAAAGTGATTTTGGAAAGAATTTAATAGGTATATTCTCTATCATTAAGTACACCAGATGCTGGACTTCTAAAACTTATGCTTCAGCATAACAGCATTTCTATACATTTCTGTTCATGATGCTTGTCCCTCTGATTTGCCTGAAATCAATGAATCTGAAAAACAAAAAAGATTCTTTAAGTCCTTGATCAATTTTGCACCTCACATTAGAAAATTAGTACCAGCAATAACATTCATGGGGGTGAAAATACTACGCTAAGGAACACTTATGGGTAATGTCCTGAGTTTGTATTCATAGTTTACCAGGCTCAGGTTTCATGCCAAACTATTATTTGAAGGACTCACTCACTGAAATTGATTTTAAATTTGAGCACTCCAAAAGCATAACAGGTCACTTCCAGTAACATTTTTAAAAATGCTGAAGGTTTTTAAAAAAGTGATTTGTAGCAGTACTTAGTGTCCAACAGAAACCACTCTATCTGCTAAACAATATCTCGACTGCAATCTTCTCTTACTGTTGGTGAATAGATAATGACATGGCACAGTCATTACCACCGTGGCAACAGTACCTAAGAACTATCAGAGGAAAATTGCACATGGAACCACTGGCTCTTGAGCAGGCATGCCTCAGCTTCCTCTGAAGTATGCTTTTTCTGCAAGTCTGGTGTGCTCCGGGGTACCACCAACCCAGTGCGGCTCCAAGACTACAGATTATACACGTACAGAAATTCCACTGAGTCCTGTTCTCCTGAATTCATTCTTTCCACCAATTATGAGCACCTACCACATTCCAAGCACTGTCCTAGGCACTGACGATACCGCAGTAAGAACGTCGAACGCCTGGGAGGAAAGTCAATAAACAAGCTAGTAAATACAGTATACGTCAAACAATCAGCATAATGGAGAACAGAGCGAGCAACGGAGCTAAGCAGGCTTCTTTCTCCCCTCTGCTCCCACAATGGTTTCTATCTGCTTTTCATTTCCCAACGCTGCTTCCAAGTGTTGGGCACCGGGTCTCCCTGAGGATTCTGCGCGGGTGCAGCGCCTACACCCACACCTGCCCCGGAAATTTTAGTCACTTCTTAGGTTTCCATTCAACCTTTCCTGAGCGTAGGCCCAGCTTCAATGGGGTGAAAGGTCAACGAGGCTCGAAACCCCGAAGAGATCACACAGGCCAGAGCGCCTTACGAGATTTCTAAAAAGTTGTTCTAGAGAAACAATCGCGCGCCAGAGGCCGGAGCCGCAGGGTCCAGCCATGGCCTTGGCTCCCACGTGGACGGCGTGATCGAGGGGACCGGTCAGGACCCGAGACTACAGCCCGGGCGCCGGAACCCCGGGAAGGTCCCCGCTCGCCGCCAGGGCCAACCACACTCGGCCGCGGCCCCCTGCAGGCACCTTGGGACGCTCACCTAGGCTGGGATACGCGGACGCCAGCCCGCCCCAGTCCCACCACTTTGCGGGCTATCCGAACCATCCGCCCGCCAACCGCGTTGCCATAGCAACTGAACTGCAGCCGACACCGGAACCGGAACCTTCTCGTAGAAGTGACCCCTTCCCGGCGTTCCGCGGAACGCGCAAGTTCCCGCCCAGGGCCTTTCTCAGGCGTCCAAGAGTATCCCAGCTGGCCCCGACTGCTCTCCGGAGGAAAGTGGTCTTCCCGCCAGTTTTGCCTCTCGTTGGCCCTGCGAACGTGATCCTGATAGACACCCACTTTCTCCAATCAACTGACAGAGCGGTTGCTCACGGCCAATAGTAAGGCGGTAGGATGCTACTCAGGCATAAGAACTACCTTCCACCTGCTGGGGCGGGATGAGAAACATGATTGGTAGAATCGTGTAATTGCGGGCCAATGTTGTCCAATCATAGAGAGCAGTTAGGAGTCGGCCCAATCAGGGCCTGCGGGGGGCGGAGCGGTCCGCTGAGGGGCCGGGAAGGAACTCTGCTTGCGATCCGAGGTCCGAGTTGGTGTAGGGCTCCGGCGAGCGTGCGGGAATGAGTGGGTCCCTCGGCCGAGCGGCGGCAGCTCTGCTCCGCTGGGGGCGCGGCGCAGGCGGTGGCAGCCTGCGGAGTCCGGGCGTGCGGACTGCAGGCTCGGGCGCAGGCGGCGGCGGTTCGACGGAGGAGCTGGACGCGATGGTGAAGAAGGACAAGGTGGTTGTATTCCTCAAGGGGACGCCAGAACAGCCCCAGTGTGGCTTCAGCAACGCCGTGGTGCAGATCTTGCGGCTGCACGGCGTCCGCGACTACGCGGCCTACAACGTGCTGGACGACCCTAAGCTCCGACAAGGTCAGGCTGGCTGTCTGCAGAGGTGTAGGTGGCAGGCGGAGGCCGCTGTGCCTGGAGTGGGGGGAGTCATCGCCCATGGCACCAGGAGTGTAGCTGCACAAGGCTGAGGGTTTCTCAATGCCAGGTTGGAGGATGGGCCTCTATCTATCAGGGAAGGACTTTCTGGGGATTCAAACGGGAGCAAGACCGGGAATCTATTCCGGGTAAGAGCGGATGAGGGCATAATTGACTGGAACAAAATCTTGAGGATCTGGGGCTCTGGTACTATTGGCTACTTTGGGCAGTGGAGTAAGTTCCAGGGGTTCACTGATCCTTACTTTGAACTGAAATAGACATTTCAGGATGATTTGTCTCGGGCTAAGTCCGAGGAAGGTGATCATCAGCCTTATATTTCTCCCCGCAGGCTCCTAATACAGCCAGATTCTACATTTGAGATTATTAATAAGAGTCATTTCTTATTTGATGAGACAGGCTGGTGTTGTGGGAAAACTTTGGGTTGGAATCCTCCTCTCTGGGAATTGGGACAAAGAGGGCGCTCATGGTACGTACCCACTATGAGGGTACACTTTGAAGAGACTGGAAGCCGTTGGTGCTGTTGCTGTTTGGACGGAGCTGCCTCCCTTGGTTCAAGGCGCAGGCTGTCAGGCACCATTCTGTGGATTGCTACAAGGAGATGGTTGGTGCTACAGTGGGCTGCCTGTTCTTAGTCGGAGTCTAGTGGCGGGGGAGGGGGAAGGCATGACATTTGCTTGGAGAGGCTTGTGGGAAGAAACAACAGCCCTAGGCTAGCACACTACCTCAATCTTGGAGACCCCGGTGAGGGGTAGCGGGGTGGGGCCGAGTACTGCAGGGCCTTAACTTTTCAGTGGCCCCAGGTAGGAAGAGAGGCCCTGATAGCATCTTTGCCAGATACCTTACATGCATTCTCCCATTTTGTCCTGAATGGGAGAAGTGGAATAAGTCAGGCACATGGACCACCTGCTTGGCAAGGGTTGGTCAGGGTTGGTGGAAAAAGTGGGGAGGTTGTACCTTGTCCTTCTGGAGGGTGGGGATAGCTTAGGGTACCCTGCATTCAAGTTAGAGCCTTTAAATGACTGAGGTCCACGCAGTATGTCCCTAGCCTAGTACTCTTTTTTATTTTTTATTGTTTGGAATTCATTGAGGGTGCAAAGAATTAGGTTACACTGATTGCATTTGATAGATAAATTCCCTCTTATAATTGTGTCCCGCCCCCAGAGATGTACCATGCACCCTGACCCCCAACGCCCTTCCTCCTCCCCCTTTCCGGTAGCCTAGTACTCTTGTTTAGTCACAGTGTACTAAAAAGAAGTGACAGGTTCTGTGTTAGGAATGGACTAGTCTACATTTGAGATTATTAATCAGTGTCGTTTCTTACATTGATGAGACAGGCTGGTGTTGTGGGAAAACTTTGGGTTGGAATCCTCTTCTCTGGCCAATCAGCTGTACAACCTTAAACAAGTCACTTAACTGCATTTTCCTTTTCTGTAAAATGATGATAATGAAACCCAACTTGGCAAAGTTTTTGTGAGGAAGAACGAGAAAGTAAAAATGGTATAAAGTGCTTATTATCTTACCTTGCACAGAAAGCACCCAGTAGGTGGTAGCTATGTTATTATTAGCTCTTTATAGCTTTCAAATATATTTTTCCCAGGTTATCTAATCCTCAAAACCTCTTTGTGATAGCTGATCCTACATTTGCTGTAGGCAATAGTTTTGGTGGGTGGAACCTAGGAGGCACATTAGGTAGAGGCGTGGAGAAGGCCGGTTAACATTACCAGGTACGGTATAATGTGTACGTAGTACCCTCACAACTGTTTTGTTTTCCTGATCAACTAGAATGCTGCTGCTTGATAGCACTGGGTTTTATCATGTCTAGGGGGATCTGCAGTCTTCCTTCAGAAGTAGCTTCTCTGCTTAAAAGATAAGATTAACTATTCTGCAGTCTTTGAGCTGGGACCTTGCAGCACATCCCCTGCACATTGCCAAGATGGCATTCATACATAGTTGTGTCATTATTTTGTATGAAGTTTTGAGGGTCTTTGGTTTGTAAATTTATGTTCTCTTGTTTAGTATAAACTGGACATGGGGTATATTGAATATGGCTAATAAACTGAAAGTGAGGGCAGAAGAATGTGTGCTGATAGTATTTACGTTCTGTCTTCCAGCTCATACAATTGGCTTCTGAACTTATGTTCTTAATACAGTCGGACTAGGGCAGGGTGCTATAAGAATGTTTCTCAAGTGGGGATTAGTTTAGCTAGAATATTAAGACTCTTCATCTCTTTGTTCTCTATACCTTTGAGTTTGCCAAGAAGAGACTGCCAGCTTGTCTGATACTGTTTTTGCCAGCCAAAGAAATGTCTGTGTACCAGACCCAAGGTCACTTCTAGTAACAGGATTGGAGCTCCTGCAAAATTGGCCTTTTCTTGTATTTGATTCCAGAGAAGGCTGAGTTTTACAAAAGGCCCAAGCCTGAGGAAGTTTGGGGAACTATCAATATTTCCTAATTCTGGGCCCTGAGTTCCAAGGAGTATGATACAAGAGAAGTCTTGAGACTGTGACCCCATAGTATGGTGACTATGAGGCAGCACTGTGCTCTGGCCTTCTTGTTCTTTTTATCTAGAATACACACAGAACACAAAGGGATCAGGTCCCAGTAGACTGACTTCACTGTTTCCCAATTCCAGTCTTAAACAGTATTTTTTACAATTGTAAAAAGTAACATTCTCAGAGAAGAAACTTGGAAAAAAATGAAAATTGTAAAGAAAATGAAAATCACCTGTAATTCCACATAAGCCATATTAACCTTTGAATCTAGTTCCTAACATTTTTTTTTAATCACATAATGAGATCATGCTTGTCTATACATGGTATTTGCCCTCCAGAAAACAAGGAACAGATCTTTCGAAACGGCCTGTGGTGCCATGTGTACTGCTTGTGCAAAGACACTTTCAGTGAATGTTTTAATGAAGAATAAATGCTCCTTTTATTTATTATCATATTGCAGCTCTCTTCCATAGTTTTAAAAAGCATCATTAACTCTCATAAATTTCTGCTGATTTTCAGGGGTGTCCAGCCTTTTCTTCCTCTGGCACATATTGGAAGAAGCATTGTCTTGGGCCATACATTAAATACATAAACACTGTGAAAGCTGATTAGCAAAAAAAAAAAAAAAAAAGTCCATGTATACTAGTGATATCTGACACTGTTGTAACCCAGCCCTCTTTCCCCTGCCCACTCCTGTTCCCCAGCCCTCACCTGTTCCCCCCACCACCACCCTCACCTGTTCCCTCTGCCCTCTCCAGCCCCTTTCCCTCCTCCTCCCTTCTCCCCCTAGAGTTGACTTTAGGAACAAGGCAAGTCCTTCCTCCCCCTAGGGTGGCCAAGAACGTGCTTCCCAGCCACGTTCCTAGGCCCCCTTCTTCCCCCTAGGGTTGCCAAGAATAAGCTTCAGGTACAAGGAAAAACAGTCCCAAGTTTCACAAACCCCCCAAGTTCTCAGTAGATGAACAATGGTGGAAAACTCACTGAGACTTGATTAATTACTGTTGTATAACCATAACCATTGTAATATGAAATGTGTCCATTGTCAACTGAAACTGTATTAATTATTGTTCCATTGCTGTATCTATGACTACCTGAGTTGTAACCCCCCTTAACCAGCCACGTTTCACTTCTGTAATATGCTTACACAAAGCCTATAAAAGGTAACTCACACTCTCACCAGGTGCTGACTGTCTCTCGGAGCAGCAGCCCCTGCAGCAGGTAAAATAAATTACCAATTAATTAACCTAAGTGGGGGTCCGAGTCTATTTTTCCAGGTCCCCTAAGTTATTTCAACACAACATGTAAGCAAAAAAAAAAAAAAACTTCACAAAATTAGCCTGCTGGCTCCATGCCTGTAGCTAGTGGTTAGGGTGCCAGCCACAGACACTGGGGCTGGCAGGTTCGAAACCTGCCCAGGCCTACGAAACAACAATGACCACTACAACAACAACAAATAGCCAGGTGTTGTGGTGGGCACCTGTAGTCCCAGCTACTTGGGAGGCTGGGGCTAGATAATTGCTTTAGGCCAAGAGTTTGAGGTTGCTGCGAGCTGTGATGCCACAGCACTCTACTGAGGGCGACATAGTGAGAATTTGTCACAAAAAAAAATAAAAATCAACATGCAGCTGGTGGGATACAGGTTGGGACACCCTTGTTAGATCACCATTTGTTTTCCTT